CAGCCTTGTGGAACATTGCATTGTGAGCTCACTTTGGGATTTATTCAAGGTATTCATTTTATGGACTGGAAGGGAACGTGACACTTGCCAGCTGAGAATAATCTCCTATCTCATTTTGCCATGAGATATCTTGTGTCACCTAAGGATATAGATCAGGTTTGCACAAATCTTGGCATTGAGTTCACCTTTGTTAATCGCCTTCTGATACCTGAGTAAGCATATTGACTGTGCTTATTCCACCAAAACTACTTTAAGTGAATCAGCCATCAACCATTACTTCAACTAAACACAGCTTACATTACGATTTGGTGAGTCAGATTACTGTTTGTTAAGAAATGGTCAGGCAGCTACTCATCATTTTACTTGGATCTACATTCTTGTGTTATAATTTACAATTTTCTATATGAAATCTATATAGTTTAACAAAAAGAAAATGTTTATTAGGAGCATTAGAAATCAAATTAAGTAATAATATACAATAAACAAATATACATAAGTGCACACCACTATTGAACAAAGAAAACAAGAGACTAGTCTAGAATAGAGATGTCGCGAACCAGGCTGTCCAGGAGGTGGGAGGGTCTGGGAAGGAGGGTCTGCTGGAGATTGGCCGGGATGTGTCAGCTGACCGGAGCTCGCCCGTGGCGAGCCGTTCGCGGGAAGTTCACGAACGGTTCGCGACATCTCTAGTCTAGAAGCAATGAAAACTATTCTTAGCGAACCTAATATTTATTTGTCCATGTCCATATTATTAGTTCAATACATTAAATTATAGTTCTTTTGAAAGGAAGAGGATAAAGAGTCTTATCTTAAAGGGACATTATAGTCACAAGAACAATTGCTGTTTAATGTAGTTGTTCTGGGGTCTACTTCCTATCCCTGTAGGCTTTTTAATGTAAACACTACCTATTCAGAGAAAAGACAGTGTTTACATTACTGCCTAAAAACACCTCTAGTGGCAGTCACTCAGACAGCATCTAGAGGTGCTTCCTGGGTCAATGCTGCACAAGGTGCGGCACTGGCATTCAGTGTCTCCACACTCTGCATGGAAACACTGAACTTTTCTCTTAGAGATTAAGTCCTTACGGCTGAAACATTGTGTAACGAACGCTGGTATAACAGCTACCCGTTCGTCTATTTCATCCCAAACTGCCTGAGTGATTATAGCTCGCAGTTCGGGTGCTGAGTCGAACGATTCTCCATACGAATGACAGTCTCCTAAGTAGATTCTCCCAGTAAAGTAGACAGGTACCCAAACATCAGCCGAAACTAGATGAAGATGTAGATGTAACAGGAGTGGTTTTAATGGGTACCCAACTCATTATGTGAGATAATGGAGCCAGATAGTGTAATAACTCAATTATCTCCAGGCAGAAAAAACAAATTTTTCACAAAACACATAGAATCCCCACAAATCCCCTGAAAGCCCTGATCTGGGTGACCAACATATCCAAAAATCACCCAGATCAGTTCAGGGGTTTGGGAATTTTATGGAAGTCCAATTTTGACCAACCGCACACGAGGCTCCTGTCCACAAACAGTTCCATGAATTTAGGTTGTGCGGCCCGTCTATTTGGACAAGTCCCAAAAACGAACAAATGCACAAACTGCACCCCCTGGCTCATAGTAGCGATTGTTCCCCTGGGTCGTGGGAACAAAACTACAGGCGTCAGTACAGTTTGACCAGTGTTCGGGAAGTCGAGTGTCCGATTTTAGTTCCAGACACTCGATGACCAAGTCCTGCTGCCTCCTTTCGTGCGAACAAAATGGCTGCCGTTTTCTCCTGCATGTGGCATTCGACTATATGAATGGCGGCCGCACAGGGAGAGCACTTAATTGACTGGTCTCTTTGAAGATAATGAGCCAGGGGGTTGGTTGGTGTTTGGTAGTTACAGCTACCGCACGAAGAAAAGGCAAATAACCAAAATAACACTGCAATTTCTTCACACATTGTATCTTTTTTTGTCCTTTGAACCACAATGCATTATTCTTACTTGCACCCTACATTGTGATGCCTGTAGATTTCTACAATAAAGAAAGTTTAGTTCCCTAGGGAGAAATGTAGGGGATTGTCTATGTCACAGGCAGGGGAGGTTTGACTAGGGCTGCATAAACAAAGTAATGTAACTCCTAAATGGCAGAGAATTGAGCATGATCTAAAAGCCAAAATCACTCCATTAAGCTGTTTTTATGGTGCGTATAGTGAAGCATCATGGAGAGCAGCACGATCTTTACAAGAATCTCTTGATACTAAATACCTCCTTATATGTGACTCTAAATATAAATAGGTCCCCAAATCCAACTCTATTCAATTGCTTAATAAAAACTTAGTATTGGTAGAATGGTCCTGATTTAAAAAAAACTAGAATATTATGTGTCTTGGCTCAAAAAAAAAGCATGCCAATATCCCTAGTAGACTAGAATGACTAGATGGCTAGACATCAGTGAGCTCAAACTAAACCTACTGATACCTGTACAGTACATAGTAACATTACCCCGATTATAAAAAAACCTTGGTTCTAACTAATCCTACTATTGTTTAGAAATAAGAAATATAACCAGATCACTAATTACTTTTGCTCATTTGGATCATACCAGTACCACTAACAATACTGACTGATATCTGCTGGATAATTAGATGCCTTGGCTCAGACATAGCCTATTGTTATATCTAATAGTGACACTTGAAAAGGTCATACTATACTCGCCTACCTACACCATGGATAAAAGGAACCAAATTACTGATTCCACAGAAATAGCAAAACACCAGCTAGCTATCTAAAGAATGATTTAAATATATAAGGTCAAACAAATTATGTTTTTTTCTTTTTTAAGCAAGCTGTGAGGTGAATAACACTTTGTTAAAAGGACACGCCACTGCGTAAATATGTAAAAAACAAAACAAAAAAACACACACAATTTTGTAGATATACCCCTGAGGAAAGCATTCATAACTTTAGTTATGCATTTTTTTCAGTAAGAGTATATATAAAAACTGCTTGCAAGTGCTGCATATATCTTGTCTAAAACCTTTACAAGTCCAGTAAGCCAATGATTTACAGATATAATCTGTCATTGAATAAACTGAACAGCAATTTGATCTAATTGAAAAGCAAAATTAAAGATTAAAAGAAAACCTTTTTACTACGTAAAATTATACAACGTTAAAGAGCCAACCCAGTTCTGTAATATACCTCTTGAAATGCTTTATGGGTTAACAGCAGGACCCTGCTGGTCTATTTTATAAAAGTGCCAATTTAAAATCAGGAGGTGTTACCCCAAGTAACACCTATCAGCTATCCAGCAGACAGCCGTGAGGGTTTCTTATTTCACTTATTTTTTAAATGTAATTCAAAGCAAAAGTGATTGTTTCTTATGGAGAGCAGTGGTTTAAATTGCTGTGATTGTCACATATGCACCATTTGTCCTAGTGATTCTCTATCAGCAAATGACTGAAGCATCTGACTGAGCACATCAGTATCAGGGCCGGTCCAAGGATTTTGGCTAAACAGGCAAAGATGCATTTTGTCATCCGTCTTCCCCCCTTCGTATCTTTCTCCCCACAGCCCATTTCTGTTTCTTTGTATCCTCCCCCCCCTCCAGCCCCCTTTAGCCTAAGTCTATCTCTTTTACCCCATCTCCAGACAATGTTTGTCTCTTTTGCCCCTTCCCCAGCCCCTCTGTGCATTTTTGTACACCCACAGCCCCTCTGTGTATATCTTTCTCCCCTTCCCAGCCCCTCTGTCTCTCCTTCCTCGGCACCCTATCTTTTTGTCCCTCAGCCTATGTCTGTTTGTGTGTGTCTGCAGCCCCTCCATGTGTCTTATTTCCCTCAGCCCCTCGATTCCATGTGTCTCATTTTATCTCCCCAGCCCCTACATGCATCTCATCCCTCAGTGCCTCCAAGTGTCTCATTTCCTCCCCAGTCCCTCCATTTGTGTGTCTCATTCCCCCAGCGCCCCATTCGTCTCATTCCCCCATCTCCCCCAATGTGACTTATTCCCTCAATGTGTCTCATTCCCCCAGTTCCCCATTCCCTCAACCCCCAATCCATCTCATTCCCCCACTCCCAATGTGTCTCATTCCCCCAACCGTCCAATGTGTCTCATACCCCAGCTGCCCAATATTTCTCTTTCCAACAGCTCCCCCAATGTGTCTGATTCCCCAGCCCCCTAATGTGTCTCATTCCCCCATCCCTCCCCAATGTGTCTCATTCCCCCATCCCTCCCCAATGTGTCTCATTCCCTCAGCCCTCCAATGTTTCTCATTCCTCGAGCTCTCCCCAATGTTTCTCATTCCTCGAGCTCTCCCCAATGTTTCTCATTCCTCGAGCTCTCCCCAATGTGTCTCATTCCTCCCAGCTCCCCCCAATGCGTCTCTTTCTCCCAACCCCCAATGTGTCTAATTCCCCCATCTCCACCAATGTGCCTCATTCCCTCTGCCCCCAATCCGTCTCATGTCACCAGCCCCCCAATGTGTCTCATTCCCCTAACTTCCCCCAATGTGTTCTATTCCCCCAGCTCCATCCAATGTGTCTCATTTTCCCAGCTCCCCCCAATGTTTCTCATTAATCCAGCCCCCTTGATTTTGTCTCATTCACCCTGCGCACCCCCGCCTGTCTGAAAAGAAGCAGTTCTGTGTTCTCAGTGAGCACTTCCTGTCAGACCGGAGAGAGGTTACCAAAGCTCCTTCCCCCCAGTCTGTGGCTTGGCCATGCTACACAGGAGTGACTAACTGGAGGGGAGCTCTGTGCAGTGTGCTCCCCTCCTGCAAGTCAGTCGGATCTTGCGCCCCAGGGCTGGTTGCACTCTAAGGTGGCCGCCCAGGCCATCTTATGTTAGCGCTGGCCCTGATCAGCATTAAAAAGTTCAAGGGAGGGGGGGCGTGTCCGACTTCCGGCGAGTACGGACGCATGCCTTGAGAGCTCCGCTGCAATTCCAGCCTGTTAGCGACAACGACAGCAAGAAACTGCAAATTTTACAAATACCTACGCTCCCAAGGTGGTATCCCACGACTATGTCACCCCCCAAACAGATGAAGATCATGGACGCGGTGAAAACCCGAAAAAAAGACGGGGGAAAGAAAGACAAGATGGCGGCGATGCGCCTGGCATGTCGGACGACCAGTCAGACGCTGAGTCCATCTCCTCCAAACTATCGGACTCTATGATTACAGAACGAAGCCTGCATAGAATGCTGCAAGATCTCCGATCTACCATTAGAAAGGACTTCCTACAGATCGACAGTGAACTGAGGAAGGAAATTTCAACGCTGGGTGACAGGACCAGTCATTTAGAAAACAAATCCGATGAGCTGTGTGTAGCTCACAACGAAGTAGTAGATAAACTTCAGAAACTCTCAGAAGACAACAATACACTTCAATTAAAATTAGCAGACTTGGAGGACAGATCCAGAAGACAGAACGTCAGATTTAGGGGTATACCAGATGATATCTCCCATGACGCCCTACCTGCTTTTATACTATCTATTTGTAAATCATTAGTCCCAGACTTGCCTGACTCTGCCTGGACTTTCGATCGCATGCACAGACTTCCACGTCCGGCACGTATGGCGAATGATGTCCCTAGAGACACCATTGTGAAATTCCACTATTTTGCACACAAGAACACCCTGCTCAACGCAGCACGGAAAGCAGGCACCTTACCTGAACCCTTTCAGAAAATATCTTTATTCGCAGACCTATCGGCTTCCACAATGGCACGTCGGAAAGAATTTATAACCATCACTAAGACCCTGCGCAACAATAATATTTCTTACAAGTGGGGTTATCCAACGAAGCTTCTGATCTGGAGACAAGGCAGAACATCGGTCATAACCGAACCAGCCGAAGGCATGAAAGCACTCAACTCCTGGGGTCTCTGGAATGCGACTACAACATCCTCACAAGACGCACCAGCAACAGACCTTTCCTCGAAAAAGCTTCAGGCGGATTGGAAAATGACGGGATCGTCATCTACAAAACCATGAACTGCCTTCTATCTTACATGCTTGAAAGTGATGAGTATAACCTGCACTGTGATCTGTTGGTTAAAATTTTAAGCTAAACCATTTCTTTCTATGTAACACGTCAGTAAATTTTGTAATGACATTTTAGCATAGCTGACTCTAAATCTCCACTTAGTTAAGTTATATGCCGTAATTCATTCTCCCTTAGTTACCACCTGAACGTTGTAATGTTTAACCGTACATGTCTCACTTGAAGCACACACAGTGACATGGAACCTCTGTTATCTGCATTACTACAAGCCTGGCTCTCCGTAACTAATCACGGTCGCTAGATGTTAACTCACTGTAAACTATAAATCCACACTGCACTAAAATATGGACGACAATTTTCAATCCAGTACTCCTGTACTTAGATCTTTGTCTATAAATATAATAGGCTATCCCAACATAACTAAAGTATGAAGCACTATCAGTGCAAATCAGCGCTTAACTAATATTGGCCGTTTAGACCCACTCAGAATGGCACAATATTATACTATCAATTACAACACACTTGATTATGGGGATGAGCGCATACGCTTACATCGCCCAAGAATTACTAAATGCAAAACTTTCTTCAATTTATTTTGATGCAAGTAGCTCTATGCAGTTTCATTTATGATTCCAGGACTGCATCAAGCATTGCGGTTGTCCTTTTTATGTCACAAGCATATGATTCCGAGTGCAAACTTTCACAGGTACACACACTCTAAATGCACTTAGAACTAAGCGCCAACTACAGGTTTAAATCACCTATCCATAATTTACCCGTACACGGAGTGAGACCCGCTTTATTTTGCATTTTATACCTATTATTATTGTTGACTTCACAATCTGTTATTTATGTTTTATGTTTATAATTCATTGTTTAAAGCCTATACTCAATGGAAGGGTAAGGACAACCCATAACGAAGTAGCATAGACGGCTCATTATTCGGCAGTATTGACCTTCCTCAATCCCCCCTCTACCGTAGTATCACCACTAGCCGGCTCTCATGCTACTACCACTACCCAGAACTGCATGCCTTGCTCCATTATATTTCAGAAACCGTCGCCTGCCGTACGCACTTTCCAACCTAGGCGACACACTCACTACTAAATGATACCCTGCTAATTGGGCATTAGCTTCACCTTCTTCACTTCTTGAAACACCACAATTCCCTGCCGCTTTGAGCTGCCCCTCTTTTTCCTATTTATAGTTTGTTTCTTTTTTGTCAGTAAATGCAGTTACTCATTGTAATGCGGCTCACATCAGGCTGAAGGAACTCTCTCTTGCCCCCCAGGTCACGGTTTGAGACACACATAGTGTTCTCAAAATGACCAAACTACACCTTCTCCCCAAAGAAGGAATCTTTGTACATAGTTATGTATTACTTGTTATTTCTTTCTCTCTCCCCTTGCTCTTCCTTTTCTCATTACCCTCACATCCGAACGCATCAATAAGTAGCCCATCCGTATGCCTTAATGTAAGCAATGCTATACCTGATACTAACAGATCTACTCGTGTGGAAGTAAACGCTCAGCTTAACTCTCATATCACAAGAGCAAGACACTTAAGCACAACCACTAATACTACACAATCAATATAATGGCTAACACAATGAAAATTTTATCTCTCAATGTCAAAGGCCTCAACAGCCCGTACAAACGAAGACAAGTTCTAAGAGACATGCATGACTCCAATGCCGCTATAGTATGCCTTCAAGAAACTCATTTCTGTAAGAAAAACCCTCCTAAACTACGGTCCTCCAGATACCCCATAGCTTACCATGCTTACGCACCAAACAAATCAAAAGGAGTAGCCATTCTACTACATGCAGACTGGGTATTCACCCCTACTACACAACATGCTGACCCTAGCGGAAGATTGTTAATCATAGTGGGAGACCTTAACGGGATCCAAGTGACGATAGCATCCTTATATGCACCAAATGAGGCTCAATTCTCCTTTCTCAATAAAGCCATAAAGAAAATCTCCTCACTAAAACAAGGTCATGTTATAATTTGCGGCGACTGCAACTGTACACTAGACCCTGCATTAGATGTTCAACGTACCAACGATAAAAAGCCTAGCAAACTAACCCTCCATAACAGCAAATTATTTTCCAATCTCATTTTTTCGTACGATCTTTACGATTCATGGAGGAACCTGTTCCCAGCGGCTAAGGACTTCACCTATTTCTCCCCGGTCCACTTAACATATACCCGGATAGATATCTGCCTGATAGATAAATCTACATTGCCTCACCTTCTAGACCAAATGATAGGGACCAGAACCTGGTCAGACCACGCCCCAATCATTATCACAATAGCAGTGCCTTACCCTACGAGAGGCCGTGGAAAATGGAGATTAAATGAGTCCATTCTTGACACACCTTCAAATTTAGAGAAGACTGCCTGCGAACTGCAAAACTACTTCAAAACCAACACTACAAATGAGACCTCAATAGAAATCCAATGGCTTGCTCACAAAGCGGTGGTCAGGGGTGAATTTATCAAATTAGGATCAATCAACAAGAAGAAATCTCATAATTTACAACAAAAATTGCTCCAGAAACTCACGACCTTGGAAAACGCCAACAAAGCAACCCCTTCCCGTACCATGACAAAGCAAATTACAGCAACACGCGAAGAGATTCTAAAACTTAAGATCAAAGAATTTACCACGAATGCAGCAAAACTTCAACGACACTTTTATGGCACGGGCAACAAAGCCGGTAAATTGTTAGCAAGTCAGCTGAAGTCCAAATATCTTCAAACAAAAATCCCATATGTTCTCTCAAAATCACAGATAAAAATATATAACCCTACCGATATAGTGAATGAACTAGCATCTTTCTATGAGGATCTATACAACCTGAACGCAAACGAGAGTACGTACACTCCAGACGAAATAGAAATTCAAAATTTTCTAGCACAAATACAACTGCCAAAAATCTCACAGCAACAAAATGATTTGCTCACAGCCCCGTTTACGGAATCCGAGGTTGCTGCGGCCATCAAATCCCTCCCTAAGCACAAAGCCCCTGGCCCAGACGGACTTCCGAATTACTATTATCTTAAACTAGAACCATACCTATCTCCGCACATTACCAAGCTTTTTAATAAAATAAAAGAAACTGGCCGCTTCCCTAGAACTATGCTAGAAGCATACATTATTACCCTACCCAAGCCGAATAAACCACCCACAACATGTGGTAATCTAAGACCAATTTCGTTGCTGAACGCTGATGTGAAACTCTATGCAAAACTTATAGCCACCAGACTGAAATCCTCGCTGTCTACCTTGGTCTCGGAAGAACAAGCAGGTTTCGTGCCTGGCAAGCAGGTGGGAGACAACACCAGATTTTGCATGGACCTCATCAATTGGGCAACTCGACAACGTATTTCCGGGGTCTTAATGGCCTTGGACGCAGAAAAGGCCTTCGATCGCCTAAATTGGACATATATGAAGACCACCCTACAAGCCTATGGATTCTCAGATTCCTTTATCATGAGCATTTTGGCCCTTTATTCCGCGCCATCAGCGAGAGTTCTCAACTCAGGATTCTTATCTAAAAGCTTTGATATCTCAAACGGTACGAGGCAAGGGTGCCCCTTATCCCCCCTCATATTTATTTTATGCTTAGAGCCTCTCATTCGTACAATTAAACAAGATCCCTCACTCCCAGGCTTTACCACACCAGCAGGAGTAAAGAAGCTTGCTTTATTTGCAGATGATGTTATTCTTTTTTTAACAAACCCAGTTTCTGCCATACCCCATCTCATGCATACTCTTGCCACATTTGGCAACGTGTCTTTTTATAAAAACAATATCAGTAAAACACAAATACTTCCTCTGAACCTTGAGTCCCATGTAATAGCCAAACTGAAATCACAATTCCCCTTTGATTGGCGCAAAACTTCTGTTACATATTTAGGTATCAAACTTACGCTATCGCACTCTCACACTATAAAAGAAAATCATGAGGCAGTCCTATTGAAAATTTCCAACCAATTGAAATCCTGGGACAAATTGAACACCTCCTGGATAGGTAGAGTGAATTCGGTTAAAATGATGGCGCTCCCTCATATTCTCTACCTCTTCAGAACACTACCTATCAATCTTCCCAAATCGATTCTTACGAAATTCCAATCAACAATCAACGCGCACATTTGGAAAAGGAAACCCCTGAGAGTCGCGGCTCACTCCCTATGGCGCCCCATTCAGCAGGGTGGCCTGAGCGTTCCTAACATCACTAACTATTACAAAGCCTCCACGCTTGCACAGAGCCTGGACATAATGTCAGAGAAAGCCAATCCAGTTTGGCTTAAACTTGAACAGGCATGTAGCCAACTCCATTCACTATCCGACGCTATGTGGGCCACAAAAAATTGCCCTACCCACCTATCATTGCCATGCACAAAATTCCTTCTGACCTCCTGGAAAATGTGGAGCTCAAACCTATGTTCCAATCAGGAACTTCTCTACTTAGCCCCAATACGAGCCCTGTCTATGATATCACCAGACTTGTCGATACAGAATTGGTCTCAACGAGGCTTAACCCATGTCTACTCCTTGTATAACTCCAACGGCCTCCGCACCTTTCCTGACTTACAAGCCTCTCATAACCTACCACACAAGGATATATTCCTCTACTTGAGAGTTAAGCATATACTGCACACTGCAACTATAAAATATCAAGACCCTTCGACATTCAGTTCAATAGGTCACTCCTGCTACAATATAAGTAAATTTCGTACTCCACCGAAATTACTTTCAATGTGCTACCTAGCCCTGCTAAACACATCCAAAGAGGATAAATTACCTTACATGCTAAACTGGGAAAAAGATTTAGGTGGGGAATTTCACCTTACAGAATGGCTATCTGCGATAACAACTACCAAAAAATCCACCAAATGTGTTACTCTATGGGAAGCGTACTTCAAGGTATTAATGAGATGGTATTTAGTACCCAATAGGCTGAGCAAAATATATCCTA